CGACTCATTTGCTGGGATTTAGCGGTTTGTTTGCGTTTGGGGTCCGGTATGCGATGGACACTCCACTTGTGTCCAATGAGCGTCACCTCATTTCTATAACTTTGGTCACAACTATTGACATCACATTTAAATGGCTTTTCTGGAGTCACTGTCAGCTCATCAGTTGTGGTATTCACATGAGATTCTAATGTATGACTACTTGTTTGGGCGCCGGTATCTACAGTATTGTCTTCAATGGATTCATTGGAGTATTCATTGAATTCGTTTGAAGGATGGAAGTGATCGGCGACGAGGAGCTAATTATCACCGGCTGTTGTATATCAGTCGCAGCCATGTTTAGGTTAATAATAATATCTGGTTTATTTTTTTATGTTTGTAGCCCTTATACCACAAAGTATAATAAGTCGCAGCCATGTTTGTAACACTTGAAGTGTTGAGCACCGGTAGGAAGTCATCGGCAATGTGGTGACACTCTCGCAAGTGATTACTAAACCCTTCACTACTATTGCATCCATACCTACACTTCGCACGACTGCATACGTATAACTTGAGTACTCAATGAAAGGCTTTGTTATGTTTCTTGAAAGTAGGCAATGACTCGAAGTCTTTATGACAGATATCGCACTGGAATAGCATTTCCGTGGGAACCGGTAGCTCAGCAGTCAATACATCAGTATTTGACGGACTATTGGTTAACAAAATTCATTTCAATTAAATTAATGTATTTAATGAATGCATAAACAAATACATGTCTGAAGAGTTCGGGTCTATCAATGTCTTTGAAGTAGTTGTTGGCACTCGAGAGGCGTTTATCGACTGTTTCCTATCATCTGATGGTTGTTTGGGTCGACTGTCCACCACCTGAGCGTCAATCACAGACTCGACTATAGGTATTGATTCACTATTTAATACATAAATTATTAGAAATGTCTTAAAATAAAGTGACAGTTCATTCATGTCTTAAATCACAAACCAATGGAAGAGTCAGTCATTGCTGTGTTGACCGCAGAGGCAGTGGTCGACCGATTTGATCGCAATCTGGATTCACGTAATGTAATCGGTGTGTCCATTAAGGCAGCCGTAGTTTTGGGCACCGGGAGGACGGCTATAATCTCAACGTCAGAATCTGAGTCACTGTTTGAAACACAAAACGAAATCAATTGACATCTTAAAGGACTTGTAATGTGTGAACACATACTCAGCGCAAGTGTTGACAACTGGTTTGTTGGCACAAGTGGTGGAGGAACTGGTGGTCACATTGAGTCCAAAAGTCTTTGTCAGTCTATCGAGTGTTGCTTTAAAACTGATGTCTTTGCCGAGTATCCGATGAACAGTCACTGAGTCCTGACTCGCTATCACTGTTTTCATCACTATTTTGTAGCAAAAAAATTCATTAAAACATCAGGACTTCAAACATATGGCACTAACTTATGGCACAAATGAATAACAAAAAACATTAATACTTATGGGAAGTGTCAACAAGACATGGCTTCACATCAGGACCCGTAGGGACGGGAACTGGAGCTCCAATAATGTCTGGTTTCATATCATCACAAACTTTGGTGTCTATGGGAATGGTGCTGAGCGCCGGTACGTGTTTGGGCTCGCGTTTAATGGCACACTTGGGCTCCGATGGCAACAAAATTTTGTGGCGTTTATTGTAATCGCATTTCAATGACCTGTAAATCGATTGATAAGTGAAACACTGTTTTCCACACAAATATTGAACACATTTTGCACACAATTTATGCCAAAATTGAGTACAAATTGAATGCAAACCTCTCATCACTGGTCGACATCGAGTCAAACGAAACGCAAAGACTTTGAATACAAATATGTTTTTCATGTAAACGTCAAATAAATGGCACGAAAACTAATCACAACTTTTGACATAATTTGTGATTTTGTCTCTTGTTTTGCATTTCGTCAGCAAAAATATACACAAAATAACTGTTATTTGTTTTGTACATAAATTTCGTTCACATTTATGCGCCAACTCTTAGTCCCCTTCATTGAGTGCAAAACATTTAATGCATTGAAAACATGCGTTAAATAGTGCCTAACATTAAACTTCACTATATTTGAATGACGTTATTCACCAAAGTTCACTACATAATGAATTTTAGGCCTTTTGTATGTCGTGATATCCATAGAATTTAATTGTTGGCAATAGTTATAAAAAGTGATTTTATAAATGAACAAAATTATTTATTATTGAATTTTGTTTCAAAAAAGTTTTCTAATGAATATTTTGTATCCGGATAAATGCATGTGATATATGCGATAATATTATAAATATATGTTATTAAAATTTAGTAAATCGGAAAATTAATAGTACATAACTTACAACAGTATCATTAGTTTATTCATTATAATTTAAGCTTAACATTTAGACATTAGTCTACTTAATATGTTTAACATTAAAAATTATACTGCATCCATTTAACATAGCATATTGATTATCATTAAAGTTTCTAAATTTTTCAATTCATTAGTTTAAAACTAAGTTTAATAATAATATTTGTCATTCACTTTCGTCTGACTTTCAAACATAAGCCGATATATGCGATACACATATAAACCAAACTCCAGGCCATGAGGGCTATGGGACACCACTGGAGACCCGACTCATCGAAACCCATGGATTCAATGACTTCTACTCCAGAGGTATAAGTAGTCGTCGATTGAGTGGTGTTTGTGGTGTCGGACGACATGTTTCCCACATTTCGCCACTCGTTTACAACCAATGATTGGTATCCGTAATAATTGAATGACAAGTACTGCAACCAATCTAACCACCCTGGTAGTATGCTAAATAATTGATCATGAAATAACATTGAATTCCCAATTAACGGTATAATATTAAATAAATTACCCGATGTTAAGGAAATATCCTCCCAATACACTCAATGGCATCAAAAATGCTCCCAGTATTGCATTTGCTGTCATAAAGTCCTGGCTTAGTGTAGAGATTAAAAAT